ATTATAATAATAATAAAGCTTTATATATATAGGATTACTATTAAAATTAAGAGTATTATTAGTATAAAACTAGATATTAAAATTCTTATAGAATATAATAAATCTAATCTCTAGAACTATTTAATTATATAGTATATAAATAATATATATACCCTAGTTAATAGAATAAGTTAGTATAAAACTCTTAATATTTATTAATTAAAATATAGTTCTTTAAATATTAGGTAATAAGTATTATAAAAAACTATTAAGCTAATTTATAAATATCTTAAAGAATAGATTAAATAGGTTTTAATAGATAGAAAAAGATTAGAAAGAGAACTTACTATATATAATAGATAAGAAGAAGAAAAGTTACTTATAATAAAAAGTTTAATTAAGAGAATCTAGAATATAGAAGAATTAGAAGTAAGCTTATAGGCTAAAAAGAAAGAAGAGAAGTAGATTTATATTAGAGAAAATATAATTATATTTTATACTTAAGTTTTCCCTATAGACTTAAGGGGAGAAAAGTAACTTAATTAAATAAAGAAGAATATAAATATAAATAGAAAAAGAGAGTATATTAAAAAATAGCTAAAACTAATAAAGATAGTAAAATAAAAAAGGGGAAATAGAAATAAAATTATATAAAAGGTAAATTAGGAGTTAAAAGATAGTATATATATAAATAATATATATCTTTCTATATAGTAATATATATAGATAAAAACCCTATACTTCTATCTAACTAATTAAACCCTTTATAGAATAACCAGTCTAGTTATAAGTTATCTACTTAGAGATCCTATTTTATATATATTTATAATTTTATTACTAAGGCTATAAAAAGATTTATTAATTACTAGTATAAGTTTATAGAGCTCTCTATAATATATAATATTATACTTTATAATAAGGAATATATTTTTAATTAATTAATTAATTATTTAGTTATTAATATATAAGCTAGAGTACTAAAGTTAGATATTATTTATAAAGCTTTAGATAATTATAATAGGTTTTCTATAGGATTCTCTATTATTACTAGTTATTATAATAATAGGTTTATATCTCTTAAAGACTTCTAGAAAGAATATAGAGAATAATAATTTATTATTAAATTCTTCTACTTTTAGGATAATAAATACCCTTAAAAATATTATTAAGCTTCCTTTATATTTAATAAGAAGAAGTATATTCTAGATTTTATAGATATCTAGTTATATAAATAGAATAATAGATTTAATTATACTATAGCTAGCTTTATAGTTTTTAATCTTAAAATAAATCTTTACTTATTCTTTATTACTATTTACTTTAATATTACTATATAACTAAATATTTATTCTTATAATATTCTATCTATTTTCTATCTATAAATAAAGATTAGGTTTTAAAAGAGCTTTAAAATATTTACTAAGAATATTATACTATAGTATAAAAATAAAGTTAATTAAGATCTAATAATAAACTAAGTAATAATCTAGCTTTTATATATACTATAGTTTATTATCTAGTACTTTTTTAGAAAAGAATTATTTAATTAAATATATAGAATTATAATAAGTATTATTATAAATAAATTAAAAATAATAAATCTAATACTAGGTTCTAAGAAAGAGTATTCTTTCTATAGAACTTAAGATAGGGAAATATATAGTAAATAGAGTAATAGGAGATATATATAAGTACTTAGGGAAAGCTATATAGAATACTTAGTTTTAGTTAAATTCCTTCTAAGTAAGCTTTTATATAGTTATATTAATATAGATATACTTATCTAATAGATTAATTACCTTTTAGTTTAATTCTTTATAGATTATTCTTAGGAAGTATATATTCCTTAAGTTCTTCCTATAGACTGGATTATAGAGTAGGTAAGAAAGGAAGATAGAGATTATACTAGAATAATAGCTAAAAACCCTATTAGTATATTTTTATTTATAGCTATTTTTAAGAATAAATATACCTTAGAAGATTATACTTCTAGAATAAAGAAGGTTATTAAAGATCTAGTTATAAGAATTAATCTTATTAGTAAAGATAAAGAGATTTCTAGATTATCTCTAGCTAAAGATCAGGCTCTTATCTATTATTAATACTTTTTATTATAATATTCTAGGTTTAGATCTAATATATTAATATATATAATTACTAAATTAATTTATTCTTTAAAAAGATTAAATTTATTTAGATTCTTTTAAATAGCTTACTATTAGTATTTTAAATAGGGTAATATTTATAGCTTTAAACTAAGAATAGAACTAATAACTAATTAAATAGTATATCTTCCTAGAAGCTCTATAAACCTAATATTTAATTAGTTTTATAGTCTAGTTAGATTATACTTAGAGAAAACTTTCTTAAGATCTAATAAATATAGCTAAATTCCTAATATAATAAGAGCTACTTTTATTACTATTACCCTAATTAGTTTTATAGATCTAGTATCTTAGAAAAAGATCTTTATAATAATTAATTAAATATATAGGGAAGGTATTCTAATAACTAATATTAGAATATAAGCTAATTAGATATTAGTATAAGATATAAGAATATAATAGTAAGCTAAAGAGTACTAAAAATAAATATTAAAGAGATTATAAGTAGAAAATACTATAAATAAATAGATAGTAGAGATATTAAAGTAGAAAGAGTATTAATATCTAACTTAATTAACTAAGATCTTTTTTTTTTATATAAATTTAATTTAGCTAGTAATACTCTTTATTAAGTTAATATATTAATAGGTATTAAGATCCTATAAGATTAGTATAATATATCTAGGGAGATATAAGAGTAGATAGAATTTCCTCTATTAAGTTACTAGTTATAGCTCCTTTTTTTATAAAGTAGGTTAACTATCTATCTTAATAAAATATAGATAATTCTTACTTTTTACTTATTCTTTATTTTTAAAATTATAATCTTTAACTTATTATTCTATAGCTAATTTAACTTATATAAAAATTAGGATAGTCTTATTTAATTAATTAATTATAGGAGTTCCTAATAAAATACTAAATATATATTAATTAATTATAATTATTAGTTTTAACTATATAGCTTAGTTATAATTTATCCTCTTTAACTAATACTAATATTATAATTATAGACCTACCTAGTCTTTAGTTATAGTATTATTAGTTAGAAAATCCTACTAGTACTTAGTAAATTTAAAGTATTAAAATTATTTATTTTAATAATAGTAAACCTAACTTTCTTTATACTCTTAAAAGTATATTTAAATAAATCTTAATTTAGAAAACTATTTTACTTTAGATAATTATTATTTTTTCTATATTTCTAAAAAATTTTAAATTATTACTTCTTTTTAATCTAAATAATATTAGTTTAAATATAAAATAAAGTTCTAATCTTCTTTATAATATCTAGGAAGATCTACTAAAAAGATTAAAAATCCTTAACTTTCTACTTTATTTTAATAGAAATTTATAGCTTTAAGAAATAATATTTCTTTATCCTCTTTATTAAAACCTTATATATACTATTAATAATTATTCTTTTTAAATTCTTAAACTTATTAGCTATTTATATTTTACCTATTAGTTTAAGGATTATTTAGATATATAGCTTATTCTAGATAAAATAGTCTTTCTATATAGTATTAGTTTTATTATTTAAAACTACTATATTTATTATAATCTCTATTTTTAGCTCTAATTATTATTTCTTAGAATTTAAATAATTTATCTATATAGATTACTTTATTAATAAAAAGCTAATTAACTATAAAGCCTATATTAAAAGATTATTAGATTTAAACTTAATTTCTCCTTATAAAATAACTATATTAATATTATCTAGATCTAATTTAGTTATAATACCCTTCTTAATAATAATAATCTTATTAGAAGAGTTAGAATTATTATCTATATCTATTATTTATTATAAATAATAAAGTAATAATAATCTATATAAACCCTATAGCTATTATAAAAAGTTAGGATTAATATATTATATATTAGATTAATCTAAAAAGCTATAGGTTATATATATATAAAGTTATACTAGCTAAAAAAGATATATAGGGGGGTTATAGGGGTCCTCAGGGTAGACCTATATAGGTTATAGATATATCTTTTTAATATACTTTTTATATCCTGATATAAAAAGTACGTAAGCTGATCAGAGCCTATATTACTATTACCCCAGGCTACCCCTTTTTCTTCCAGGACCCTGTCGAATATTTGGTACCACTTTCAGCATCATATACCATTTGGAAGCCAACATACGTAAGCCCTGGTTAATTGCCTTTCGCCGCCGTCTTAGTTTACGGACGAAGTAATATGAACCATACTCACAATTTGTTATCCCATTTGGTTCACAACACTTCCCACTAATTCGGAGACTTCACTGGGTCAAGTAACTTACGAGACATGACTAAAACCTCCTTGCATGCCTCAGACTCATTTTTCTTTATGAATATCGGTAAACATGCTTCTGCTACTCTTCTTACATTAGGGTTGTTGAGACGACAGCTGGTCCAGCTTGCAACGAATGAGGGTCTAGGGTAGGTCAAGGGGTGTTAACTAATAGTGTTTCTCTTAGATTGTGAATCAGCCCAACACGATAGAAACGACTTGTGTTGAGCTAACATACTCTCTTTGTTCTCCCCTATTTGTCGAGTATCTTTCAGTTCGATAGCCAGATGCTATCACCGCATCACGGTGATAAGACTTCGCTAGGTTACCCCTATTTGTGAAGCCATTGGTCTATTTCCCCAACTAGACCAACGAAGTCCTCGTCCCCTTGCGCCGCTCTTGTCTGAAACTCGGTGTAATGCTCTTTGGCCCACTCAAGCTCCGCCCCAGCCATTGGGACATGGAACTCACACTTCATCCCGGCAAGTAGCTCGCCGGTGATGAATATAGCCCGCAGCTCCAGCTCAGCAGGTGGTAGCTGGTCCGCGCTGCATGCAGGGTGAACAATGCGGGCCCATGCTGTTCGTATTTCACTGCAGAGTGAGTTGAAGTCCTCTCGAGAGCGAGACCCACGTCGAACCCTAGCAACAATCCGGTTTGATGCAGTCGTCTTTGGAAGCAGAGCCGGATTAGTTCATACACATGGGACTTCGCTGCCTGAGGTCAGAGAAGGGTGTTCGTACCCGTTTTCCACCAGTGTATGTAGGCACGTTGGAAATATTGGTGAATATCACATTTATGAACATCCGAGGTACTGTAAACTTCGAGCTATGCAACTCTGTGATTGCTGCCGCGAGCGAGTCTTTTTGGTCATCGGTCAAGGAAACCGTATGGGCAATCTCGTATAAAGGCATGGTAACTATATATCGGTTTGTATATCGACAAATTTAAGGAACCTGGGGAAGTTGCTGCAACTAATTGATTGGTAAATAAAGTAGAGAGTGCACGATGATGCTTGCGGTGTTTTGAATGAGGAGACGAACCTCGGCTGCCCCTCAACTGACTAATCTAGATTATGAATCAATTCCAGTGCGACTTATATCATGGCAGAAATCAGTTGTACACTTTGGATTCATAGACCGTCTCCGGTGGTGGTTACTTTCTCCCTATTCACAGTGAGAGAAAGTAATGGTCCATATGCTTCATGTTTTCAAAGCATCCTTTGGGTCTATATGTTTAGCTTAAATGTTTATTCTGATGGCTTTGAATTAAAGAAGAAGCAAAGTAAGAGTAGAAGGTGAAAATCTGGCTAAGTCTTCCATGGGCACGGAAAAGAGAGAACTCATCAATCCATTCAGTATGCGCTTCCACCACAATCATGTCTCTTTTCCACATCTCTAGCGGGATCAGCCCAGCGAGCCAGATTACGGGATGCACCGTATACGCTCCTTGGATTTAGATTAGTCTCCCCGCGTTTTGTAAGGCTCTGTGGATCCAAGAGAGCAAGCTGCGCAACGCCATAGGCTGCGGCCTTCGCATTTATGACCAGAGCATCCCAGTTGATGTTCGACAAATCATCGCAAGAAGTATGATAACACTCATCGTATGGTTTACCAGCACCGGTAAATATGCCAGAAGAGGCGATTCCAGCATCGAGAAAGGCAACGTAGTCGGATGAGCTTCCAAAGGTTCTAGACATCGGTTAGCTGAGAGTCATAAATTTCATCCCGGTAATGTGACCCTTACGCAAACTCTGGAGAGCGACTATTCTCTTTGAGGAAGTCGTAGAGAAACTGAGCACCCTTCTTATCGCCTTCTGAAGTAGCATAGACAATATTGGCTGGGCTTGGAGATGCAATCATGTCATAGTTGAAGTAAAATCGTATCTTGTCCAGCTCCGCGGCGGTTAGAGTTGAAACATAGTGGCTTGAGCCAATCATTCCACTCTCTTCTGCTCCCCAGAACGCAAATCGGACCTTGTTTCTGAGCTGGTACTTCTCAAGTGATTTGGCCATCGTGAGCAAGGCAGCAACACCACTTGCATTGTCGTTGATCCCTGCACCTTCTTGCACAGAGTCAAGGTGAGCGCCCAGCATGATGACATTATCCGGGTCGCCCTCCTTCGTTTCGAGTAGTATTTGCCACGTGTCGCGGTTTTCGGTCAGAGTCTCGATGGTCAATTGGACATTTAGAGCCTCCCCGGTCTGTAATCGCTCATACCAAGCCATGCCTTGCTCATACGTAATAACACCCAATGGGACGAGCGTGCCATAGTTTTCGGCGCCTAGAGATGCTGAACCACCCTTCACATTCGGTACGTTGTTGAAAATAATGGCTGCGGAGGCTCCGTGTGCCTTGGCGAGTTTCAGAACTTGCACGAAATGGCATTTCCCTCTCTTGACCAACGCGATTTTCCCACTGACATCGACGCCGCTCCATTGATCTTCGAAACAACCGGTCCCTCGCTCGTCGTCGATGGGAACACTCACCAGAGGAGCACGTAGTCCGTCTGGAAGTGGAGTAGGGTGATTGTATTGTAAAGAGATCACGTCAACGGCTTCCTCCTGCGGACCAAACAATGATATGTGTTTGGTTTGGGAGAAGAGGTGCGTGAAAGGCTGAATGGTCGTATCGTACTTGGAACACGAATTGGAATTCTTGTTCATGAATTCAAGTACATATTTTAGAGATGCATTGAAACCCGGCAACCCGAAAGCTCGCGTGCCTCCATTTTGGCTAGCAATAGTGTCGAAGGTGGTGAGGATATCTCGTAGGCTAGCGGGTTGATCGGTTAGTGAATAGCAAATGTAAGGATATATATTTAGCACCTACTGGCTCTCTTGAATATCTGAAACAAGTTTCTCTGGTATAAGTTGCGCTTTGCTCGCAACACACGAGATGAGTAATGGGAATAAGAAAGCTGATGTCTTCATGATATTAACGCGGTAGAATGATCTTGATCAGCCCTCTTTGTGACAAGGGAAGAGGACGCCAAGCTGTGGTTTTATACGTGCGGAATTTTGTTGGCATACCCCGTGCTGGTCCGTACGCAATGACAGCTGACAAGTGCGAGACCAAGTCCGAGATTACACTGCCGCTCTTCCTAGTGCAAATCCACATAGCTGGAACACGTCTAGCTCGGGGCTGGTTTATAATCTACGCGTTTCCCTTCGCACAGCCTCGCTGGCTTGAATGTCGATCTCTGATACTGCATGGTTGTTCGTAGGGAAATGCGAGCTCAACAGACCGAGCTAACCAACCACAATGCCGGTCCAAGCAGGGACTTGACCCTTGTGGGTAAGATTTAATTTGGCGACTGCCGGAGTTTATTTTCAGAGCCACGCTAATTCTCTCTCTCTAATCTCGAAGAGTTGTCAGACTCGCCACTCGGCATTGAGACCCTGCTTTGAAACACAAGAATGCTTCAATATCCAATTGTACTATTATCATTAAACCATTACCGGGCCATGAACCAATGAAAGTCTATGGTCTCAAACGATCATCGCCCTCTAGACTCCGCCTCGGTAGTTGCTTGCACCTGCCAACATCATTCGTGGACCGAGGAAATTCAAGCATAATCTACAACTGATGGGAGAATCATTTCTACTCTTGTCAAGCCTTTCAAAGATGAAGTATCCCGCTGACTAAACATAGTTAAATCACAAGACGAGCTACATCTCCAAGCGGGTGGAATAAAACATGGCACATCGAGATAGCTCAGTATTGGATTTTAACACAATATCACAATAAATAATCTAGCGCTGAATATATTATCAAGTTAAATATCATAGAATAGTTTATTATTCTCTTATTATTGTGTTTAGTTAAAAAATGAGGTCCCTGCCTTACGCGGAAAGAGCTTTGGTGTGCCATGCTTTATTCCACCCACTTGACCTCGAACAAAGTAAATAGAGCACACCTTCACTAATATTTAGTCCAGCACAGTGGATATTACTCCTCAGTTTTTAGAATCTTGGCTTTACTTGGTGTTCACTTATTCTTGATCCCGAATGATCGCACGCATTAGATATAACCTAGTTCATTCACGTAAGTAAAAGTCCCCAAGGTAATATAAATTCCAAATGCTCGACTGGAAATTGCGTTATTGTTAGGGTTCGAAAATCAAAGTTGATTCTTTCCAAACCGTTGCATAACAGTAAACGAAACTAATTGCTTGCTGACTTTGATTGCATTAGGTCGCAGGCCACGGGACTTTAGAGCACCAGTCTTCATATCGAAAGCTGATCCAATTACCGAACAGAACGGGCTCCAAATAAATCAGTCAATCATCCTTGCACATTCACTTGCGTCTCAATCTTTTTCTGTTCTTGACTTAGCCTGATTCAAGTTTGAAGAGATTCATTCTCAAACGAAGAGACGCCGAATGGTATGTGCGCCTTTAGGTACAATCTCGCAAACAGGCTTAATCTTGTCAGATGTCAGTTTCTCTACTGTTGTCCCGCAGTGGCAAATCAGGCAACTGAATTATTGTCTGCCTACCTACATAAGCCCACGTTGAGGAAGAAGCAGCATCTGAGTAATGTTTCACTAATATCAGGCAGCATAATTATATATCAGACAACTGGATGCTATTTTGAGGGCGGAACAGCGCCACATTCCATCCACGAAATGAAGCAAAAGAGAGTGTCGTGATTGATTAGTGTATCACGTACTAATTGAATCAGTAAAGCTTCAGCCTGGAAGCGGTCTTTGGCGTTAGTTTCTGTACCTAGGTTTACGGGTACTCTTACCGACTTCGACGAGTCTAATAAAGCGCGTCTGTTCAGCTCGTCTCAGCCGCATCCATCACAATTCCCCTCAACCGCCTTCGCAAACATCAGCTGTATCAGCGCATCAGTGTATCATCATCGCGTTATTGCAGCGATGACAACAAATCAAGAGCATTATGATCAGGTGCAGGGGGACGAGGAACATGTGCTGGCACTGGAAGACGGGCGCCAGTTAGCATATGCGACCAACGGCCCACCAACCTCACGCGTCCTCGTCATCTTCTTTTCAGGCCTGTTCAGTGTCGGCAGAGCTGCGGATGTCCCGGCACCTCTCCGTGAGCTTGGCGCTCTTTGGATATCGCCTACGCTGCCCGGCTTTGGAAACTCAAGCTCGAGGAAGCCAGGTGATGCATACCACACCTCACTCATCAGGGATATGAATGCCCTCTTGGCCGAGCTCTATCCCACGGGCGAGTTCGACAGCCTGTATGTCAGTGGAGGATCCTATGGCACGGTCCAGGCTCAAATGCTGTATGGCGCTTCGTACGACGAGTTCCCTGCTGGGCGCAAAACCGCAGGGTGCATGCTCCTCGCTGGCTTCTCGCCCTTTAAACATCAGACCAACTACACGCGGGATCTTAGCTGGCAGAATTACTTCTCTGTCGGGCCGCCCGCAAAGTATGTTCCCTTCTGGCTGCTTCAGCGACTTGTATCTTCGGTAATTGCAAAGAAGATTAAGACGCAGGAAGGCGCCGAGCAATTTCTCCAGGAGTTTCTGTTCTTAAAGATGGACGATAACGAAAGAAGGAATTTCGCCAGCTATCTCGCCAAGGTGAATAGAACAGAGGCTGGATTCATCACCAAGATGGCCGAGGGAACAAGGCTGGCAGGTGTCCGAACATGGCAGGGCTTTCTCGAGGTGGCTGATGTCGTTCACTCAGACTGGGGATTTTCACCTTCAGACCTCGATGACGAACATGCTTCCAAGCCAATGCTGATCGTTGGTTCGGAAAAGGACGACACGGGCGGGAGCTCCTACGTTTGGTTGTCGGAAAACTACAAGAATAGCGTACTCAGGGTCCTACCTGGCGGACATATCTCTTCGCTCTATTACCTTGATGATCTATGGGAGCAATTGATAAAGTCGAGCCAGGCGGGCCAGTGATCGTGAATATGATGGAAGGGTTTTGATATGCCGCCATCTGCGTTTTCGATTTACTTTTCTTCCTTTTTCTTCTTCTTCTTCTCCTTCATCGTCTTTTGCAAGCTTATTATTCCATTTTCGAGGCACAAGGGATGGAACAGGGACGGCACCACAACAAGTTTTGGGCCAAATGGACAAGTATTATCTGATGGCATGTAGATAAGGCTGCTTGCTGAGAATAATCATATTGCCAAAACTGCACGCGTCACGCTCGAAGAGGTAGTGACCGAACCACTTGTACCCGGCCCCCTGATGCCGCACGGATGCATCAAATGAGATGGTAGGATTGTAGTACTCATATCCGAGTTTAAATTAACGCCCCATCGGATGATCTGTTTATCATAGATAATATAAGCAATGTTTGCTCGGCTTATTTTGTATTGGAGATAGAATCTTCGGACTTGGCAAGGTTCAAAATTCGATTTCACATATTTTGCCACGACAGAACTTCTATTCTTGGCCGCATGACACTTGGTTTTGAAAATCGCCGGCATGGTGACCTTTCTGAAGAGGCCACTTCCGACATGTCACAAAAAGAAACAGAGGAGGCAAACTAACAAAATATCGCTTAAACTAGAACCTGTACAGGTTTATCAGTTCAATAGCGATTTGAGCAAAGGACCTGACAGGCCATCTGCTGATCAGCTCTAGGGGGATTCTTGGCAAGTAGTAGCCAAGCGATCGGATGGCGGCATGATGAATGGATACAAAAGCCCTATTGAGATAAAATGCCCATCCCGTGAGTCTAATGATTGAAACAAAGTCCTTATTTAAGTAATTATTCGAGTTCCCTAAATGGATCTCTCGCCTCCAAAAAATGCGCATGATCCTCCGTAGAGCTAAATATACCATCGGGCCATCGGTGCTGTACAGGAAGGGGTATCTCCGAGCAGGGGGCGAAATGGGTCAGTACAGAAATCCATAGCGTCCAGCCCATCTTAAAGGTCCATACCCTCAGTTGGGGGCTTCAAATTGACGTGTGTGATGTTCACAGCTACTGACTTATTGACACAAACTGTACATAGGTTGTAGGCATGGCATCTTTCAGTCTATCAACGGGCCAGCCAGCCGCCCTCAGAGGACAGAAGTCATGGGCAGGCTTGGCGATCGCACTACTGTACATGGTCTGCATATCATGGATCACAGGAACCGAAGCGTTAACTCTTCACGGCCGTTATCACGATAGCCACGGGGGTATTCGAGATGTCCCTACACGGGTGCAGGTTCGTGATGAATTAGCAAACGGTGTTGAACTGAGGGTGCTCCCTATTGGAGAGTATGTACTAGTCTCCAGGAATTTGCTACTTTTCATTCTCTGTCTGAAGCAGTCACTGACTCCCATTAGCTCGATCACCTATGGCGCTGGCAGTACCAGCTACAACGGCTACCGCAAGGCATTGTACCAGAAGCTCAAGGATCACGGGAATGCTGTCGACTTTGTTGGATCCATGCACAGTGGTGATTTCGCGGATACCGACCACGAAGGACATCGAGGCGAAGTGATCAGCACAATTCAGAGCATGTCCCAGAAAGGTATATACGCAGCACCAAATATTGTTCTACTCCATGCCGGAACCAACGATATCAACCGGGCTCTCGATGTTGGAAATGCACCGGCTCGTCTCAAGACGCTCATCGAGGACATCTACTCGCACTCAGAAAACGCCGTTGTCCTTGTTGCTAAGATCATCCCCTCAAAGAACCAGACGGCCCAGGCAGATCTCGCGGCATACAACAAGGCAATCCCGGATGTCGTAGCTAGCTTCACGAACAAGCACATCGCCGTTGTTGATATGAACTCAGCCTTGACCACGGCTGATTTGACCGACTCTCTGCACCCAACCGATGCGGGATACGCGAAGATGACCAATACTTGGTATGATGCCATTATCGTCGCAAATTCAAAGGGGTGGATCGTGAAGCCAGGCACAGCTCAGGATCCTCCGGATTCGACAAATCCCGAGAATTGTCGAGAGACGCCATCTTGGCTCAAGGTAGGCGAAGTCGCCAGTGGTGCTTCAGTGTAAGTCGCTCTTCCAGTATATTCCCCAACATGGACTTACTTGTAATCGGCCTTCCAGAGCTACCACTGATGGAGATTTCAAGCCGGCGTGGAAAAAGACAGGCGTCATTGCGAACGGCGCCTGTCCTCGTGCCCGGCTTCATCTCATGGACATCGACGGTGACGGTCTCAAGGACTATGCTTGCGTTGATCCCAAAACGGGCGCCACCACGGTTCACCGCAATATTCCCGACTCCTCTGGAAAGAGCCAGAACAAATGGGAGGCGGCAGAAGAAGTAGCCTCTGGTAAATCAGGACGGGATGGATACGGCGTGATATTTGCCGAGTAGGTTTCTCTTTGCACTGCGTCTTCATTTACGAGCTAACACCCAGCAGCCTCAATGGAGACGGGGCAGACGATTATATCTATGTAGATCCTGACAATGGAGATGTTTCTGCTTGGATTAACAACGGGAAAACCAACGGGTCGTGGCAATGGAAGTCACTGGGAGTTATCGCAAGTGGTGTCGGTGCCAAAAACACTACTCTTCAGATGGTCGATTTTGATGGTGAGTTTCGAATTCGCCTTCCGTGATAGATGCTATGGCTAATTAGGAGAATCAGGGGACGGGCGTGCCGATTTCTGCATCGTCAACTCATCCAGCGGAGAGGTGACTGGCTGGCTGAACACCGGTGCTAGCGATACCCCCAAATATCATAAAATCGGTGTCATCGCCACGGGGGCTTCGGCCTCCAACGGGGACAAGGTGTTCCTTGGTGACTTTACTGGAAATGGGAGGGCAGACTATATCATTGTGGGAAGTGGTGGCCAGGCAAAAGGATTGGTGAACCGGCTACAAGAGAATAACATGATCCCAGCATGGCTGTCTGTTTTCGATCTAGCGGCTGGTCCTGATGGTGTGACGCAGGAAGAGGTTCGTTTCGCCGACATGACAGGAGATGGCAAGGTGGACTACTTGGCTATTGATGAGAAGTCCGGCAAAATCACATTATGGGAGAACGCCGGGACAGGGGGAAGGTACCAGGAAGGAGAAGGCGTTGTCCTCTGTGACTGTGAGTTCTGTCTTCGGCACGTTTTCTTGTCATCTGACGCTAATCTACAACATAGTGGACGGAGACGGCACGAGCGACTACTTCTGGTTGGATCATGAAGGCAGAGGATGGGGCTATCTCAATACAGGCAAAGGCAAGAACCAATGGCAGAACCTGGGTAATACTGCCAATGGTGAGAAACGTGACAGGAACCAAATCCGCATGGGAGTCCTCACCTCTAGCGGCCGAGCTGATTATATCGTGGTCGATGAGAAGACAGGGCAAGCTAACTGGTGGGAAAACTTGGGTGAATCGAATAACTATGGGTGGTCGTCTCAAGGCGAGGCCGCTGCCGGTCCCAAGAAGACTATCGAGGATACCTATGGGTGGAAGTTCAAAGGAAAGAATGTTCGATTTGCTGAGTGAGTTGGACGCCCTGTTGCCTAATCTCCATCTACTAACAAGACATCCAAGTTTGAACGACGATGGGCTGGACGATTATGTCTACGTCAACGAACAAGGCGCTGTTGTCATGTGGCCCAATCTTGGCAAAACTCCCATTGCTTGGGGAACGCCCAGAAAAGTGGCAGACGGAGTGGGTGCCCTGCCGAGAGACATCCATTTTGCCGATACAAATGGGGACGGCAAGTTAGACTACGTCGTCGTAGACAGGGTAAGCGGTGCTGCACGATCGTGGCTTCATGGTGGTTTCCGAAATGACAATTCCATTGCATGGAGCTCGCCAATAAGCTTTGCGGATGGACCTGGGTCTGTTGGACCTTCGGTCAAGATTACTGAAGTAAGTCATACGTAACTGTTGTGATATTGTGGATTTCTTCTAACGGATCCTACAGATGACCGGCGATAAACGTGCAGATTATGTGTCAGTTGACCCAAATAGCGGAAGACTCAACCTCTGGCAGAATCGGTGCTGGGCTAAATAGGGAGCATGATATGGATCACGCCGTTGGTCTTAACCTCTCATTTAGTCAACGTTTCACTTTCCGTTGATTGTTTTATTTATTTCTTGATTTGAGATATCATCTACTTCATAATGACGTTCCATTGGTTCACACAAATGTATTTTGGATGAGCTTCAGCTAGAATATATCTTTATTCTTAACCTAATATGATTTCCTTCACTTCAGGCCTAGGCTCTACTGCATCAGCCAGAGACTGAGTCAATACTTGTCCAATCCCTCTTCTCTCGGCTATCCCGTCAACCCAGGTGATTGCCATAACCCAAAGCAAGTCCCAAGGTCCTCCAATTGCTTTGCCAGACGGGTCACGTGTGAGGCTGGACTGCCAAAGTGAAGATTTACTAGTCAGAGTCTGACACCTTGCTACAACCACTAACTGGACCTTTTCTCCCACCGAACCCACAAACTCCAAATTATCTGGGTGAAGAGAGCCAACTAGTGTGCCGCTGGAAGAGTGAAGTGGAATATCATCGGTTGCATGCGAATCAGCTGGCATTGCGTCTGCTTTTGATGGACGATCTGCTGTCCAGCTAGTTGGCTTCTCACCGAACGCCAAACTGAAAACGATGGACTGAAAGTAAAGGACACAATAAGGAGGAAAGTTTCTATAAGATCGTTAGAATCAGTCGGTTAAATAATGATATGATATGTATCAGACGAACGGTATTGGTATATTGCTTGTTTGAGTATTCCCCGGTAGTGGGAGCTTGGATTGAACAGAATAGGCTTTGATTGATACTGCCCTCCTATCTTCTCGCATCTCCGCATTTATATCAGAGTGGGCCGAATTTCTGGGTTCTCGGAAAAAGTAGTGTTCTTTCTGCCAACTAGATGCGGTTGAAAATGGGATGCTTTGCTGAGAACTTGACTCGAGTTGCTGGCGGAATCTACGTATTCCTGTGAGTGTTAGCAGGACGTTATCCAACGGGCTATTGCTGAATCTCTCACTCGATTTGCGAGATGCCAACCAGTTTCGTAAGTACTTTACTTCCGTACTGTCATGGGGTATTGAAAACTTTGCAACCAGCTGATCGTACTCGGATTGACTATTGATAGACGGGAGTGCCGTTGCAATGAGTCTATATCTGTTCCCGCCTTCGATCGTTGCCTCTTGTTCTTTCGGCTCACCTCTGCTAGGAAGAACTGTCTTTGCCCTGTCCAAACCTAACCAAGGACGCTCAATATTTGTTTCGTAATAGCCAAGGATGTCAGGGTCAAACGGATAATTCATCTTTGCGGACTCGACCAAATTGGATTCCTCTGAATTTTGATCATGTGGGAAGAGTAATGGAAACTGTTGAAGAAGGATCTCTAATGGAGTTTGTTTCCCGGGTTCGGATCGTGACAGCTTTTTCATACTCTGGTTTCTCGGCCACACAGCCCATTCTACCAGCCTGTTGGTTGCAAAATGCTTCATGATGTTCTCCGGGTTCCAGAAACTGTTACCACTCTCGTCGTACGCCACGTAGTTCTCACGTGGCCAGAGGATCTTGCCCTCCCAGCCAGCCCATGAGAAGCTCGCAAATTCGTGGCGACGCCTCAGCCGACTCTCGGGGGATGCGAATAAGAGAAACATATCAAGATAATAAGCTGGCAGTCCCTCAGTTCCAATCGTTCTCATTCCTGCAAATAATGGGCGACTGATGCCAGCAACTGCTCGGAGAGCGTCCCCATCATTGCGTAAGATCCTCCGAGAGTAATCTTCGCAAAGCTTCTGATATACCCATAAAGAGGCAACCCTTCCTTCATCTAGCCGTGGGATACGGCTAATGTTGCTGTCATCTGGATCAAGCCAACTCGTAAGCTTGTCCGACCAAATCTCTTCGCTCCAATTTGCCTCGTGGCAGCGAAAGTACACTTGATTGTTGATAAAGATGATGGTGCGTCGAGGAAGAACAAGTTCTTGCATGGTCCATCCTCGTGAGCTATATATTGACTTTTCGAGGTGCCAGTCGATACTGTGAAATACAGCCATGCGCATGCCCCCTGGAACCAATTCCTTAACAATCTGGAAACCCGAAGCTCGAGCATCTTGGAATCCGGGAAGTCCGGCATTGCTGTCCGCACCAGTCGCGGCCACAAGTGTGAAATATGAGCCTGAGTAGATGGAGTTCATAAGTTCTATGCCAAGGTTGACATCTCGCATGTCGTCCTGGATGAGACATAGAGCATCTATCCAGAGGTATCTTTGGCCAATCGATTTCACGAGGTCGATCGCATTTTGCACTGTTCTTGGTAGACCCGGAAGAAACAAATCTAGCCCGCCCGGTGTTTCCAATGCCTTTATGTTTTCTCTTTGCAGTTGAAACATGGGGATCTGGCCCCAGACATAGCTAAGGGTGACGTATCTGGCATCCAATGCTACTCTTTTGATACATCGCGCCTCGAGATCCAGGACGCGAAAATTGGATGTATCTTCCTCGAAAAAATGCCCTCCCGGCCGAGACTCATCCTAAACGATCTCGTTAGTGCCTAGCCGATAATCTACATGATTGAATTGTGTGTTATTAATGCCTACTTTTAGCCTTAACACTGCTGGTCGGACACAATTGGAGTGATGACTATCGCATTTTTGCAGCCATCTAGATATCGTTGCTGGTGATACGTGAGAAGACTGGATGACCCTTGCACAATCGGGGCTCGCTGCTTGACTCTCTTCAGATGCGACAAATAAGAGCTGCGTCCCAAGTCGAGAAGGAAATGACAACCGGAACCCCGTCTCTTCTGGGAACAGAACCACATCGACAGCTTGGTCAGGGGCGATTCGCTTGACATCGGTAACTGTATCCGTAATCGCGGCCAGGACGAGCTCACAAAAGGGACATGGTCTAGCCTGAAGCTCTTGGAAGGTGCCCAGAGCCAGACCATGCGGCAGATCGGATTTCCAGTCGCCCAGGAGGGAGTCGAGCTGGTCGCGGGAGGGCGTAGATCCGGTTCCAGCGACCAACTTATGGAGGCGTGCGCAAAATTCGGTGCAGTTCTCCATCGTCTGAGCGGCACGATGATGCAGAGATTACAAACCTGGCCTGGTTCGATCTGATCGGTTTGATACAGGGCATAAAAGCACTACGACTGTGCCACAGAGGAGTCTGGTCAGGGGGGTAGGATGGCAGGATTCATGGTGCCGGGGAAGAAGTCTTATTTCCGCGACCAACCAAATCGCTGTTTACCCATCTGGCAATCTCCTGGTAGTACGCAAGGCTGGTAAGGTTTGTTTTGAAAGGTTTCTGGCTCTGGGTAGACGCATAGCACGAGAAATTGATCAATTAAAGACCTGACGCCGCCCAATTCTAGCAACGCTATCTACATATGGGATATCTTACTCATTGCACTGTTCCATCACACCATCATACCGCTCTGATAGCGAGTCGCCACAGCCCTTTGTCGTCTACTGAACCATTCAAACATGGGAAATCTCCAAGATCCAAAAATGCTCCGAAAATACCAAATAGCGAGGACAACAAGAGTCAGTACACCCGTCACAACGCAAAATGGGAGAAGCCATGCAGTGACTTCCGCATCGCCGGCATCGCTTGCTCGAAAGGCAACCGTTGAAAAAAGCGTGGCTGTGAAAGTCCCCGGGAGGAAAATCATCGTCAATATCGTGATTGAGTGCATTGATGAGCTGTCTTCGGACATTCGATGCGACATGGTCAGGTTGGTAGAGCTATCTTGCTGCGTAACCATGTTGAACACCTCGACGGGTACTGTTAGCTATCCTGGCCGTTAACTATTTCTCTCTATGGTGAACTCACAAAGTTCATTGCAGTCTCCTTCCTCGTTTTATATGATTTGAGCCAATTGTTATGATACTCGAACGCATCCTTGACGTACTGGAACGCGCTCTGCGTCCTGCTGACACTTGTACCTGGACTACCTTGTTGTGTTCGTTGACAGAACAGCGTATGAGCCTGCAACAGCTTCTCGCTTAATCTCATTGACGACTGGGCGCTTGCCAGCCCTGTATTTAGCATCTGTGAGACTTGATGCAGCTCAATGGTGATCCGCTGTAGCTGTGTTCGCGCATCCTGATCTCCTGGTTTGGTTGGGCTACCTTCAGCTTGGTTATCAGCATAATCGTTGACTTTTTTTAGCTTGAACAGTGTTAGTTCTGGTAACGCGGTGAGAAACGTAATGATTGATCTGTACGGACCTGAGTCATCAACTTATTGCGCACTGAAGCGGCATATTCAGTAGCTTGCTCGAATGCAGTGTTGGAAATCAGAGCGTGAACCAGAAAAGGACTTGAGGCAAGCTCATTCGGTGATAATAAGGAGCCATCGATGGCACTATTGCTGACGTTGATGCCCTCTAAAAATGAGAACCAGATCCCATCGTCAGGTGCCGAGACCAAGTAAATCGTCTGATTTTTTGCGACCGAATAATTCATATAAATTGAACACGGTGCCTTGTTGCCCTGAGTAGCGCCGGCCTTCATCTTGTCATATCGTCCCTTTTGATGCCATCGGGGATGTTGGCAGAAGAACTCTGTATCGTTTACTGTCAGTGGTAACTTTCTGGTGAGATGAGATAAAGACAAATTGTCGCACCGTAGACATCCTTGTTCTCTTCCTGATCAGACTTGACCTGTGAGAAAGCAGACCAATAATTAGGCCTCCCTACGAGATCGAGAACGAAGGCAGCGTTGATGTCGAAGCGTTCGAAGATCTTCATAGCAAGACTTCTGGACATGGAACTCTGCTGACTATATGTGGCACTATCGTTGGCCTCGAGTTTTGCGCATCTTCTCAACTCGTTAGTGCTTTCGACCCTATTGTTGGAGTTCCACTGCCTTACATGATGATGATCGAGGGTTCATTTTCGGCGTGCGATAGAGACTAGAACGTATTAGAAAATCCGCGGCGGTTCATTCTCCAATAACAAAGGCGGAGATCAACTGAGATGGTCTTCGCTCCTTACATCAATTGCGGCCTCAACTTGTATATCATTCTGGTCGCAGGCGTAACCTTGAATCGTTAGCCAAGCTTGCAAGGAACAGACATAACAGGCTCTTACTAATATGGCAGTTTGATCCGGACACTGTCAAAATATCTAGCTGAGATTCGCTGATAAAATTGGCGCTGTTAGCCAGGATATCGGGCGCCTGGTTTTGCAGTCCTGGATACAACGGTAGATCTGGCAGAACGAGCTTCTCAAACACTGGGGGTTGTTCCACCATGGAGTAAAGTGGTGAGACTGGCAGTATTTGCGGCTCTATGGGCAAGCCTTTTTCCCGCGACAGATCCATATGCCTCCGCCTACCTATTGATTGAAGTAAGGTGTCTAACTGAATGACACGCCTCACAAGCAGCAGACGGCCGGAATGCGGGATTTGCGGGAGTGGGAGTGCCAAGAAGTAGAGGAGAAGAAACGCAATGCCGGTGGAGGATGGACTTTGGGAGTGCTGTCGGTCCAGTTGTTTGCTCCAAAGTGGAAAGATGTTTTCTTCGAGGCTGTGCAAGGGGCTTAGGAGGGACTACATTAACCCGAGGGCTATGAGCTGTTTATTAACATCCACTTGACTGGCTGTTGCCAGCCTCCCCTAATGCTATCTGACCAGGGCCGATGCAACCATAGGTTCGAATTGCCGCTGGCACGTTCGCGCCAGCCCCATCTATTTGATCATTCACCAACCAGTCTGCCAGGGGTTCGGCGCTTGAAGCCTTGTCAGGCGGCCGGATGGTTCGCATCCAAATGTTTGAGCTGCTGAAACCCATTGCCCCCTTTGTTTCTCAAATCATGTGTTTTCTCTCTTCCCTCTCTTCTTTTTTGCTTTAAAAGACATGCGGGCGGTAGATAAGGCAGCCTTTAGTTGCCTGATAAACACTGAGCTGAGCAAGGGTTTGCTCCTACAAATATGGCGGTCAAGCACCACAACCCTTAGGGCTCAGATATTTGCATTCTCTGCCCGATCAGCCAAAATGGCCAATACTGCGGAGTCTACGTGGTTTTTTTAACATGAAATGAAAGACTAGCAAAACTGGATGAGCTTTTAACCATGACAACAACTGGTTTTTTGGTCACGCTCGTTGAGAGGTCCCAGAGCCAGTGGGTCTATCCAAAATGAGAATCCGGAACATGAGAGCCGCTGCAGACATTTCACGCGCAAGTATCTGCCCAGACACGTGAAGCGAAACAACATAATATTACCTTATCTGACATAAAGCTCGAAGAGTTGGCCTAAACACGGCTATTGATTCCATCTACATGGTCCATTGCCCCCTCCAGAGACTTAGGTGGTTGTCGTATATGCCCCATTGGAAGTATTTCACAGATACATAAACGGATGCTATAGCTTGGGCCAGACCAGGATATTGAGAAAACCGGGATATTCACCTTCCCTAGACTTCGTTTGTTTATCCATGGACATACATTCAACACGTCAGTCAAGATTCACCATCCGCGTATTAACTGAGTCAAAAGACAAGAAAGTGTCCAAAAGTACAAACTCGTTCGTTATCTAGGATTTTGTAAGTAAGGACCTGCTCGGTCAAGGTAAAGACGCTCGGTGGTCGAGGTAAGGACCTGCTCGGTCAAACAAGACAGTTTGGTCAATCCACCCGATTTTTCTAAGAACTCTGGCAATGTCGCTTTCAAGCAGATTTCGCAACTTTTCTAAGTCAATCCAGTCTTTATCGGGGTTTTGTAGTACTTTGGAGTTCGGTGGCAGCCCCAGCTTGTTATGAGGAAAAACTCTTTCGGGGAGACTAATAGTGAAACGAGCACTATCAAGCCGGAGTCGCTTTGGTCTTTCCATTAAATGCAGCACTCTGTCCCTTTTCCCGACGAGTCTAGTCCGACTTTCTAGATGGAAAAACTGTTTGGTTACATCTGACCAGTAATTATTCCATTGTAGGCCAAACGAAGTATATGAGCCCTCCCCTGAGCCATCAGGAGTGAACGATGGCAGCGCTTTAATGACGTGGTGAGTCATGGCAATCGACGTCTTGATCTCATTGTGCAGGTACCGTCTATTCGACTCCGAATTATCCTGCTCCATATATAGAACGGGTCGGTGAATTTGGTCTTTAGGTTTTGTTGTAGAAAGGGCTTCTAGCTTTCCGATGGCATCACTTAAGCCCAACCCCAGGGCGTTGACAACATTTAGAATTGCCGGTTGATTCTCAAGTTTCAATTTTGGCCCAGTACTCCTGATGTCTGCACCATACTCCAAGAGCATCTCCAAAGCTTCTAACCTTGGCATAGGGAATGCAGCAATGGCGACCGGGAAAGCTAGGAGAATAATGAGTAGGCTGCAACGAACCTCCTCTCCGTCGGCCATCCATTGGGATTGGAACCTCCACGGAACTCCGATACTGCCACTGCCCGGCCCTAGCGTCATAAGCGTCGTGTGGAGAATATCTCGAGTAGCGAAGCACCATGGCCAGAAAGGATATCTGGCTCTTTCTCCGGCAGATTCTCTGAGGCAGATATCAAGCTGGTCGCGCGACATGCGACTTAGAACTGCAAGGATGGTTAATTCACCCGCAACGAGTTTGTGAAACCCAAGTCTCTGTATCGACTGGGATCCAATATTGATATCAATATCCTTTCTGTTTAGGAAAGAGTTCACGACTTCCATGTGTCCCCAGAAGGCAGCCACCCAGAGAGGAGTGATAGGAAAAATTCCATCCGATCCTCCACCGTACGAGATGACATTATTGATAATGGGTTCTGTACCAGCCATGTCAAGAATGCAGGCTACCTCCTGGGCGCAGTGAGGCGGAGATCCTGATGACTGTTTACGACCTGCACAAGCGAAGAAATGCAGTGGCGAGAAAATCATCGCGATGTTGCCATCATGTTGACACACGGTCCATTCTGGCGGCGGAGCAGCGGTCCATGAAAATTCGCTTCTCCTAAAGTACTCTTCGGCGCATTGCTCACAGAAATTCTGCCCGTAAGGCATGGCAAAATTGGATTTCAAATAATCCAGTGCGATCTCCACGGCTCTGTCAGGGTCCGTATGCGACGCCTCTATCATCCTGGTTTGGCAAAGCACCAAAGCTTGTGCGTGTTTCTTTCTCTTGAACTTGTTAGCTTCAGATGTGAATTTCCTAATTTTCGCAAGACGGTTATGGTGCTTCGCGTCGGCTAAGATTTGTTTCCAGGCGTCTTGATCCTCGTCTCCAAGCTCTTCAGACAGGCCAGCCACGAGAGTTGCTGCCTTCAATGTGCCCGGGCTCGCCAACCCTGCGGAAGCCATATACAAATTTGCTGCTTCCTCGGCGTGATTCTTGGCAAGAACTTGCCACTTTAGCTCCTCACTTTGATATGCCGTGGTTGTGAGTGTCTCAGACATCATGATGTGGACAGGAGCTCGTTGGTCATGTGAGTCAGCCATGAACAGTAGCAGATTCTCCAAGATAGATCTGGCTTGCTCTGCATCGCCCGTATGATTTAAGCATGCGGCAAGACGCATTCGTAGCCGTATCTCCTCATTGGTGTTTGGATACTCAGACAATTGATCCGGTGACCAGGGAGGAAGCTCAAGAGACCGGTATTCCTCCAAAAGGTTGATGATATCATAATGGCGGTCTTGTGCAAACCACTCTTCCACCTTCAGCACCCGCATGCGGCCGTAGACAACCCCAAATTCGCTGTTCTGCCCAAGTATGCCTTCTACCTGTGCGCCACTTTCGATGAATGCCAAAGCAGCCAAACTAACAACAATCTCTTGCTGGTTCGAGTTCAAATGATCGTAATTCTCCAAAAGTTGTTTCAGCCAAGGGGCAGCCTCTTGATAGGCCTCAGCAGCACACCGCTCTTTATTCTTCTGGATCAATGACTCCAAGTATATAGACTTGAACGATTCGTTCTGATAAAGGTATGCCTCGATCTCTTCTATCGGCACAAGGGCTTCGATGAACGCCAGGGCACCCAAATCAGCAACACTCGCTTGCTGCGTCCCGTCTAGCTCGCTAGAAATACTGAGAAGCTGTTTTAGTGAGGGGACAGCCTCTTGGTATTTCTGGGAATCGACAAGTTTTTTCGCCACTCCGATCTGGGCAGCTCGTAGGTACTTTTTCAAGGCACCTCCCTTTCCAGTTCGTTCAGCCAACAGGCCAGCCGAAGCATTCTGGGGAGAAGGGAGTGAAGATTCTGAGCTTTGTTCGGATGTTCGATATGCCTGAGCTGGTTTGTTTGTATTGGATAATGGAGATGAGGGGGGTTGTGATGATTGAGACAATTCAGTCACAGAAGGTAATTGAGGAGGTGGCCCTAGAGGCTTCCTTGGCTGTTCTTGTTGTTTTTCTGGTCGAATGGTATCCGGCGGAGCTGGTGTAGAGTCCCATACATCGCTCCATCGAGCAGATGGCAGTTCGGAGACCTGAGACACGGGATATGAGCTGTGGCTGTGCATGCTCTCTATGGACCGCAGGCTGGAGAGCGAGATATCCCAGTTAGCTACACTCATGTATCTATCTGCCATACATGTAACACTTACGATAATTGCGATTCCTCTGTCGCATTTCGAGAGCTCATCCACGGGTGAGAAAGCGATGTTCGAGCTGACATCCGCTCATGTGGCTGAAAGACAAGAAGACCCCGAATGAATCGTTCAGCATTCCTCGACGTATTTACGGAGTCCAGTTGATCGACTGGAAACTGAATTTTGCCAAATGTATATCGAGATAGCGCTTGTGTGTCGGGGAATGGGAGCTTGCCCGTGAGGATACGGAACGTGATGATACCAACTGACCATAGATCTGCCTCATTACCGTGAACTGAGGAGTCGGGTAGCTTTCCTACGGCGAGCTGTTCGGGGGCAGCATATCCAAGGGTGCCTACATAGAATGTATTGGGGGATATGGATGCTAAGTGTCGCTCTTTGCTCACGCCGAAGTCTGCAATCTTGACCTTCCACGAGGGCTGCTTGGCGGCCACCATAATATTCTACATTCACAGGTCAACTCACTAAGCCATCAGAAATTTCTTAACGGGTACTCACCCCGGGTTTCAAGTCCCGATGGATGAAACCGTGATCATGCATATGGCCAAGTCCTTCCAAGATCTGCCCGATGATCTCTGTCACATCACTTTCTGGGAGCGGACTCTTGATATGGTGACTCAAATCACCATCCATCAAATACTCCATGACGATAAAAATGGACGCTTCATCCTCAAACCAACCGCTAGAGCACACAAATCGATGCTTCAGCTAAGGAAGGATAAGTCGCCTGGCACGCGCAGCTTTCGTTGGGTCCGGGGGGGCACATACCTCGGAGTGGGAGAATCTCACAATCGCCTCTAATTCGCGTGTATACTCTATCGCGTTGCCATTCGGATCACTCTTCTTAATCTGCTTCACGGCTCGCAGCGCAACGGGGTCGCTTTCGGATCGCTCCAGACGTACGACACCATAACTCCCCTGCCCAAGTATTGGTTTTTGATCGTGGGAACGCCATCGTTGTCTCATTGAACCTTGACCTGCACCTTGGATTAAGTGCTCTGTAGAAGACTGGAGAAATTCTGTCTCCAAACGCAAGTCAGAGACCTGTCGAGACAGCCGGGGCGGTTCAGCCATCGGGCTATCTGCAGTGCCTGACACGTCTCGGCCACGCCAACCCTCAGTTCATGTTGCGATGCAATCAAGTGGTGTGCTTCGAGCATCTCCCTGCGTCGATTCTCAAACGCTATCTAGAGCTCGTCAAGGACCGCGCAGAAAGCAGTTGAAGGGAGTGATCGAATTACGGTGGCCGCAAAGTGAGGGGCTCGGCTGACTAGAGCTCTTGCCGTTTCCGAGTGGCTGCATTCAGCTGACCACCCCAAGGCATATTCGATGGAACTAGTGATTCCTTTGCATAAATAGTGGCAATAGGTGACAGCCCAGGCCAACCAACCAGTGCCTCGACTGGTCACACACAGGGGTACAGTGAGTGCGCAGGATAACTAAGTAATGAAAGACAGCACTCTGGTCTTATCAACTGCGGCCCTCGGGCAAGGAAAAAAGGGCCTCTAAGACAAGCAACGCGGTAACTTCGGGAGCGGCAAACCACCACCCTACCGTCAATTTCCTTCTCAAAGTGTGAGCAAACCGTGTTCCGAAGCTATCCAAAGAACGGCACAGTTTGCTCTCAAAACAAGCTTCCTTGGGTATCGTGCGCTGGCCCTCTAGATTCACCACAACCACCGACAGCGCGTGTATGGCAACAAGGATGGCGATAGCCTCAAGTAGGAGAGAAATTGGTATTCTTAACATCTAAGATATAAAGGACCTGGTTAACTATGCTTAATCCCGCTTTGTATATATAGCAATCATTGAACATATTTTGAAACGATTAAATTAATTTTACATTGATTAATAATATATACATTTTGAAATATGATATCTCAAAATCAGGCTATTTTCATGAATTTTTCGGACGCTCTTCAGTTTGAGCATGGGAGAGATCTGAATTTATCCGTTTCCACAAGTTCCTATTGTCTGGCTCAGGACAAGGCAGATGAATTAGCAGATGCCTTGTATAAGCAGCGGCTGTAGCGGCAGCATATTCCTGCCAAGCCTTGTTCTTTTGTGCATCGCAATAATCACAAACACCTCGGATGACAAGGGTTGGCAGGATGTTCATGACGCCAGCTGCTTCCATTTCGAAGCATAAAACGCCGTATTTCTGTCCCCATTCGTCCCTAAATTTTGCATTCTTTATCACCTTGTTCCCAGAGGCAATGATACCATAGTGGACGACCGGGCTGTTTGTCGGCCTTGGCTCTCTGTGTTTAACCTGGGGTGGGCGCTGAGGATTGATGTCGCCTTCGGGACAACAGTTCTCGAAAAGTATATCAAGCTCCTTGCCGGGGTGGCTGAATCTCTTCTTACTGCCAACACTTCCAGATGCTATAATCTTCTTCACATAAGTGAGAAGAATATCCGACGAGCCACCAGGAGTAGACTTGAGATAGTTGATCAGGGCACGAAGAGCCCTAGGGGGGCCTTGCAAGGCTCCTGTTCTTTCCAACATTACATCGCCGTTCTCTTTCCCGCGATCATACTGGATCACACCAGGTAAATCACCTTTCGGGAGGCTTACAACAACATCTCCCAGTCGTATATCATTGTCATCGGAGGGCACACCGCCACCTATGCCAACTAACAGGCAAAACTTGATATTCGGAAAGCTTCTCTTCATATTTGTTGCGCATTCAGCCGCAGGGTTTGTCCCATATTCTCCATCGGGGAGACATGTCGCAACAACCTTGTGTTTTCCCATTCGCCCCAGAGCATATGCATAGTCATCACCCGGTGCTCGGTCTGTGTCGTCATGGGTCTCGTCTAGGAGAGCCCTTATCGCTAAGAGCTCTATGTCCAAAGCACACAGAATTCCGACCGTGTACACCGCACGAGAATATTGTTCCACAGGTGTCGGGGACTTGGTGACTGCGGTACTCATGGCACCGTTCAACTGTGGTAGGCTAAACTTGGAGTCAAACTCCCGCATCGAAGATTTCTGACTCGAGACGTAACCACTATCAGTAGGGAGGGGCGAATCAACCAACGTTAAATCATAGGGACGAAGCTCCCCTTGGCGAGGAGGTCCGAAATCCTCCCATACCCACCCAAGTTTAGAGTGATGCCCAAAAATCACCGCCCCCGACTCTGGTAACATAGGCCTCCTGCTTCTTGGGAGCACTGAAGTTGACATGGACAGTGGTAAAATTGATTGTACAGGTTCATGACAATCTTGGGTCCTCAGTAGCGAACAAGGTGCGTATTCAAAAGCAGTGGTCTCAGTATGCCAAATGTTATTTAGACCGATCCCAGTATAGCCGTACTTGGTGTAAGAGACATTGATTATATCTTTCAAGTCGGAAATTGCCGCCGATATATAAAATCTGTCCTTTGGAACGTCCCTCCAGTTATTGCAAATAGCGGTGCTGGTTGACGGCTTGATTAAAGTGCCAAAACCCCGCCCAAACAAAGTGATTGCTTGGATAGACCTGATGAAGTCAACCCACGATTTTCCGGGACCCTCTAATATCGTCATCCTGGAAAATAGCCGTGTGTCGCTCCTGGTAGCTAAATCGTGGAAGTCCCATCCGGAGAGATATTGTCGAGCTTGTTCTTTGGAGTCTCTGCTGTCTCGCTCTCCTGCATCTTCCTGGTAATCTATGAGTCTTTCGAGAATGCCAAAACAGTGGTCAACTCGATCCTTGAAAGACTCATTTTCCTCGTCGTACAACTTCATTACTCTGTTTCTTTTGCTCAGGAGTACTTTGACAGCGGCTTGCGGATTGACCAGTGCAGCCTCTTCCAAGTCCTCTTTCTTGAACAAGAACTCACTGCTAAACTTATCCACGCTATCATACTCAAGTGATGATCGCACGAGATGAAGTAAAGCGGTTATCCCTTTCATCAGCCACCCACGCCGGTCGCCCTCGTCCCAGAGAAGTACAAATTTCTTATCAAGCCACTTGAGCCTTTTTATATATCCTTTACGTCCCAGTTGTAAAGAGACATCACAATCTCTTTTACAGATGACAAACGCAGAACAATCTGCAACGGGTATGCTAGGGACTAACGTCAAATCTGCCAAAGGACAGCCGATTGCAGGAGTGCCAAGATGTGCGCTTTCGATCAAATAGTTGGCACTTGCCGAACCTGTGATAAGTAGTCAGTTTTCGTCGTTCGTTTCAGAGCCCCATTGCAGATTCCCATAATCGTACCGGCATAGAACTCAGCGTCGGAACACCACCCAAGAATACATCGGTAGTCTTTTAGTTCCCTCTTCTCAATAAATCCTACATGACCTGGTGTCTCGCTTAGGTAGGAAATTCGATCGTCATTTTTTGTGTCAGTCAGGTGCCAGTAAATAATGCCAGCTGTTTTTGTCGTAGGGTATAATAATGTCGAAAACCCTTTTATAAATGTTTTCCCGCTGAAAGTATTTATTTGGTTGGTGCCTGCTAGTAGTGCCATTATATTCAATGGTATCTCGATACCTTTGCACTCCTCCGGTCTCGAAGGGATCGGATAGCCACCAACTATGACCGGGCTAATGAAGAGGTTGCGCCAGCAATAGCCATTCGCGGGATAATATCGCTTGTCAATATCCTGGAATTCAAACCCGATCTTACATATAATCGAATTTGAAGAGATCTCCTCGTTGTAAACGAACGGGGTACAGTAGACACATTGTTGCCGATTGCGACTGGGGGCAGAACGAAGCGCGGCTGCAAGCCACGCCAACTGCTCTCCAACTTCGGCGACGGACGGGCTGGATCCGATGGCGCTTACCACGAGCTCTTGGTCTTCAAATAGGCCTTCTCGAAATGAAGCAATGATTTCTGTCCCATCGTAAAGTATGGCGGCTTTGACATTGAAGTCCGTCAGTGTTGCTCACACTACCAGCCTAGAGCACTTACTTGAGTTGAGGCCTGTTTTGTAAGCGTCTTGCACAACTCCCAAGACCTGAGGCCCAGTCATAGGCCATGTTTGCTTCATGTATTCTTTTGTAGTCAAAGCTTGTATAAGACCGTCAGCACCGGTAAGTGTGATAACTTTCGCAACCGCTTCGTCCGCGCATGTGCCCAGGTCCTGTTCCTGTAGAAAGCCTTTCAAGTTCCACTCTATAATGAAGTGCACCGATTGAGAGGGCTGACATTTTCTTCTACTAATCTTTTGGCCCCCTTTCAAGCGACTTGTGATTGTGCTCCTAATGTTATGCATTGCATGTGACTGGCCTGGAAGACAACAGAGTTCTAGCCGCAGACGAGATAGAAGCCACCGGCATGCACTAGAGTTCAGAACGAACTCCCGGAAAACACCCATATAGGCCTCTTTGCTTGTTCCCTTGGTTTCGTCGGGCCAACTCGGCTCCGATGTGCTGGAAACGTCACTGTTGTCAACATCATCAACAATTTTCAAATCATGAAATTGCAGATACTCAGACGTTTCCCCAGGCAACCCTTCAGACCACAAGCCTAAGCGTTCTTTGACTGGCATTTTCTCGGAGGTCAAGACTTTGCGCCTCGATTCACCCCAATCACTCTTAAGAGAGAGGTGATATAAGCATTTACAAATATGACTATAATAGAGTGATTAGACATTAGCACACATGTATTGATGCATTTCAGACGTGAGGAATAGCATTACTGACCCTCTGTATTTATTTGTAAAGAGCATGACGTCTCTATACACTTGTGGTGTTCCCTCGCAGCCAATTTTTATAGAGAAATCCCTTAAGAGATTCGAAATTGTAGAGAATGAGATCTGTAGTCTAGATTGGTCCAAGTCATAGTCTAGGATGTTTTCGAAAAGTTCCTCGGCAAATTCGAGCGCATGGTCTTCTATCCTCTGCGTGGAAATGGCACTCGCGTCAGAATAGCACGTCAAAAGATCGTTGCATTCTGACATGTTCGGCATTCGGTCGCCATTTACCAACTGGTCCGGCTGTGGCCTTAACTGATCATCTTGAGGATCTAACGCCGCATTAGCCCCGGAGACAGTTCCACCAGGTTCTTGAATCATGCCATAAGCGATTGACCCGTACCCAGAATCTTCTGGTATGGTATGTTCCCTAGCAAGTGACTTCTCACCATCAAGGCCCGGATCGTCATCACCAATGGCCTCAGGAGGTGCAGACAACGACATGCCTGCTACCGCGAATTGAGACTCTGTGGAAATGCATGTTTGGTTTCTGCTAATACAGCGCTTGCACGGCTTGGTGTCGTCACACTTGACTCTCGCAATCGCGCAGGAGCTACATGCATGCGATACTCGCCCGGCAGCTGGCGATGTCGCCCTACGCCGGCGTTTTTTGTAAGAGTCCTTGTCGTGTTTCGCAATATGTCGCCGCAACAGGTCCTTGCGCGCAAACTTCTTTTGGCAAATTTCACAGCTAAATCGCCGACCCAAGGTGTGCGTCTGCACATGGCGGACAAGATGGTCGGGCCTGGAGTAGGACCGGCCGCAGTCTCGGCAAGCGTACATATTGTTCCCGTAGTGGCTGCGCCGTGAAGCTCCTGGTTGTCTTTCTGATGTAGCGGGCATGGGGACTTCGACCATCAATCGAGTGTCTGTTTCTTCATTTGGTGTTCGGTCATCTCTTGGTTCACCTCGGCCAGGTCCTTCTTGTTCCTCTTGGTCTATGACCCTATCGCTTTTTGGGTAGCCACCGTCCTCCATGTCTTCGGTGCGGTTTGTTGTCTCAGTGAGAGCTGAGTTGTGAACTAGCCTTACGGGAAAATGATATAGCGTAGCAGCTAACAACTAACGTAGTCCAAGCAGCTTGATTGACTAGAGGAAATCCCGGGTTTGTTGTTTGTTGTGGAATGTAACAACATGGAGTTGCCGCAAAACCAAAAGGTTCATGAGGCACAGCCCCGTTAGGCAGACTGCCACCAAATACTTCCAAATGGGCCGGTAAGCTGGCTGGTTCGCATGGTCAGCTAAGGCAGATTCAATTACTGGCCAATCAGTGTGTTTATGTCGAAAATACCTGATTGGATTCAAATGAGATGCGCCCCATGCACTAACAAACCATCCACTTACCGCTCCCTGTAAAATTGATCCTTCGATCGAATTTTCAATCTTGCTCTGTGACAACCAATGTAAAATCCGCGTAACGGCAGCCAAAATGGTTGGTGTGCCTGGCAGATCAAAGGCCTGCAAGACCTGCCGAAGCCGAAGAGTCAAAGTGAGTCTAAATCGCGTCGACCAGACAACTCGAAGCCAACAAACAACACCAACATGCTAACCGGCATGCGTGAATTTCAAAGTGCGACTTGCAACGGCCCAGTTGTGGCCAATGCCTGAGACGGCAAGTGGCATGCGGCGGATACGAGCGGCAGCTCATATTCGTCAATAACACTTCACAAGAAGTCCCGACCTCTACGTTCAGGCTTGGGAACAAGGCATATTCATCTGCGGACCGTGGAAGTGAAAGAACCCTGACCAGACCGCCTCCGTCGCCGCAAACTATTCATCAGCATGCATTCGTTTCTAGGGCTTCCGAGGAACGCATGGTCGGTTGGTTCTGGACCACTTATCTTCCAAGCGGCCGATCCGCTTCCAGTGAATCGGCACCATTTTCTTTATACGGCTGGAGCACTGTGATTCAAGACCTGTACGACAGAAATAAAATGGTCCGGGCAGGAGTCTTAGCAAGCGTATTGGGGAGGATGGCTGTGGTGGAAAATAACCCAACGATCCGCCGAAAAAGCCATGAGCTATATGGATGGACATTGCTTTCTTTGGCGAGGATTCTTCAAGAGCCTTCCAAGCATCCGTGTTATCTAATTCTCTCGGCTCTGAAATTGTTGGGATTTTATGAGGTAAGATGGTCGGACAATGTGCATACCACAAATGTCAAAATGACACGGTTGCTGAAGTTCACTAGCTCATGTCACCATCGGATGAGACTAATCACCCAAACACGTTCAAATCGTGGAGCTCGCACGTCACCGGCAATGCTGCGTTCATCCTACTGAGAGACCCGAGTGCCTTTATCGAAGGGCATGCCCATAGCCTCTTTGCCGACAGCCGCTATGGCCAGGTACGTGATGTTTTCGTTGTTCTGAATTAAGACAAGTCGACTAATAGTTCTACAAAGGCTATTGTTGGCATTAAGCTTCGGAAGCCGTCACCATTAGCCAAGCCAGAGTGGAAAACGATCCCATGGAAAACAATTCAGAAGACGCCCAGGGATCGCCTGCTCGACATTATGCTTGAACTCGGGGGAATTTATGCAGAGGTGGACTCCATCAACGCTTGCAGAGACCAAAATGCCCAGCAAGGTCGCCGAAGACAGCTGAGAGCAAGATGCTGGTCACTTTCAAATGATCTTCAAAGCTGGGAAGCGGTGTCTGGCCGAGCCACGGTTGAATTCGCGGAAAGCGTGTTGGATGCGGGAAATCAAGCGCACAGCGATCCCTTAACGCCGGAGAATCTTTCAAAGGGGATTCTCATTTTGATATACTGGGCTATCTGCATCATGTTATACGATGTTCTCAAAAGTGACGCAGACCTCGATACCTCTCTCTCGCAAGCCCCGAACGTATGGCCCCGTTTTGCCGAACCATTGATTTACTGTCACAAAGTGGCGACTTTATTGCCTTGTTTCTTGACTCCAGGTACAAGCACCAGCTACCTGATCTCACATTCGGCGGGCACTGCTCTAGAATATCAGCGTATGATCGACAAGGGCACCATGTCCAAGGAGCAGATCGCCTTGATGCAGGCTTTCCCGGGCAGTGAAGGGAAGACTGCAATGGCGTTTATGAGCGATCTCTTCAAACATTCCACGTCATATTCATCTTCGGATCGAAAAAGATCCACCTGATCAACCAAAAATCAATTTACTTCTCTCTGAGATTCGCTAGATGTTGTTGCCGGCTCTCAGTTGCTCCTTGTCCGAGCCTACCCTGTACCAAGATCCGAAGTCTCTCGGGCTTCGGCCTCGGCAAATGACAAATCCATCAATCATCCGGAGTTCAGCCGCCGCGTCTTTTCTGCCTCGGTGGCAGCAATCACGACATTCGTGACTTTGCAAGCTCTTGTCGTCTCTGCTCTCGGCTGTCTGCTCTCCCTCTGCTTCGCAAATTACGTACGAACTGTGGCGCACCGCGGATCACAATGGCTCACCACCCCTCCTTCTCTCTCGCCGCTCTCCGTAAGCAATCGCTCACCGCTCAGCCCCTTGTCACCAGACCGTTGCTAACCGCCAATTGACTCTAGTGGCCGTCGGCGGCACCACCGGATATGTTAAGACACGGTCAAAGCCCTCTCTGATTGCTGGCCTTGGTCTTGGTGCCTCATATGCAGTTTCCGGTAAGCACTCTTACTATCTAGACTTCAATTGAGCCACCCTATAGGCAGAATCAACTGCTCACTCTTCTAGGCTATCTCCTGAAGGAGAACAAGGACTGGGGTTCCGAGTTGGCCCTGGGCAACAGCATCGTCTTGCTGGGCGCAGCCGTTATGAGGATCGTCAAGACCCGTGGCAAGGCGCCGGTGCCACTCGGCCTGGGTCTTGTCGGCAGCCTGGCCACATTCTACTACCAAAAGAAGTACCGGGAGTTTACCTTTGGAGTCTGAGCGCCGCACGCTGTGCCATGACGTTGTTTTCCGTTGCAATTTTTGACACGAAATAATGTAACATTAGACTATCTCCTAATCACCATCTTTAATTTCCAACCAAAGAACTTGAGACAGTATGATCACCGAACTTTGAAAAATCGGTGTTGCTGAAGCTCTTTACCCCGCTATTTTCTCGCATCCAAGAACTATGCTCATAGCTCAACAGCGACATCTTACTCTAGTCTAGTATTCTAAGCCAGGTATCTGCAGGTGTAATTAATCCTAGACAAGGTTGGTAGACTGCTAGTTGCCCAGACTCTGAGAGTTACGGCATTACGCCCTGTTACCACATCCTCCGCTTGGCTGAACGTTGTGATATTTTTGCAAGGCGCTGTCGTAATCCATGCGCAACTGTCGCAGATTCCAACCTTTTTGGGTTATGCACGCAACCTGTTTTTTCTTCTCTCTTGGCATCCATGGCATGTTGCATGCATTTCACGTCCCACTCCAACTGTTCATACGCAGTTCTGAATTCATCGAAATGGCAAAAGTAGGTACATTGCCGGCAGTCCTGACTACTCCTACAAATTTTTATACAGAAAGAGAATTAACCTACTCATCAGATATTAAGAAGGAGAGATTATGGTGATGGAATCAATTACTCGTAAGTGAGGGAACCTCTACAACAAAATAGCCCGTTTTTGCCTATATGTGTCGCGTTACATAAAAATAGGTACGGGAACCGCAAGCAGCCAGGGGGGGTAGATACATGATCTAACGAGATCTATTTTGCATTAACGGGGCAGTTTCCTCGATTAATAGAAATATCTTGCCATGAATTTCCATTTGGAGGATTCTGTTTGGCCCTTTACATGTCTTTTTCCCAGCATGATCAATCCATGATCTGATGAAAACACAAGACAGTAGAGATTGATCGAATCGAGCAGGTCTTTAACGGCGAGACAACAAGTTTATCCGGAGAACCTCTCAAGAGTAAGCTGGGGCTAGGAAAGTTTCGCTATGCCTAGACTTCAACTGGCGGGTAAGGGTAATGAGCATGCTCAAGAGATACTTGAGAATTTCTATGCTCGTGGACATTTGTTTAGCCGCGCACCTGCATACCACATGACACTCGCCAGAAGGAGTGGCTGCATGGTCATGTTGTGTCATTCATCCTCCGGGGAGATCTTTTCTAGCTACGGAGGGAGATCGCCGTGCACTCTTTCTGTTCACGTTCCGGAAATGACTGAGCTTACACACACCAACGAACGGATACGGTGAAGGCCTGATCTGAACAACGCGAGATGGACTTAACTCTTAACTACGATAGGTCGCTGCGAAGCAAGGAGTTTAATCTTGGCTACTAGGTCTCGGGGGCGTGATCTTCTATTTTTCCCCTTTTGAGGCTAAAGTGCCATTTTTGGTTCGGCGATGTTGACGCCGATGTAACGAGACAAACTATAAGTAGGTAGTGAAACGATGCTGCAGATAAACGAGGGATATAAATGACTATAGATCACTCATAAAATAATACAGAGTTTTCCTTGCCTACAATCAACTGACATTATAACAATACTGTGTCGAGATGAAGCTAACTTTTACTGCTGCGTTCGCTGCGCTGCTGATGCAGCCAGTATATGGCCATGCCACCTTCCAACAGCTCTGGGTCAACGGAGTTGACAAGATAAGTCCAAGAACAACCATCTGGTTTTGAGTCTCAACTAACACCCATCTACGGGGCCACCTGTGCACGTCTCCCGCAGAACAACAACCCAATAGGCAGTGTCACTAGCAATGACATTCGTTGCAATGCCGGTACAAGTCCCGTTTCTGGGAAATGCAGCGTCGCCGCGGGACAAACTGTGACACTAGAGATGCATCAAGTAAGTTTCCCGTGGATTATTAGCCGTATGTGAACTGTCTAATCGTTTGTGGCCTTCAGCAACCGAATGATCGCAACTGTGCCAACGAGGGCATCGGCGGCAACCACTACGGACCTGTCATGGCCTATCTATCTCAGGTCAGCGACTCATCCACGGCCGACGGCTCGTCAGGGTGGTTCAAGATCTTCCAGGACGGATGGAAGAAGAACCCATCTGGATATAATGGAGATGATGATTACTGGGGTGTCAAAGATCTGAACCTGTGCTGTGGCAAGATCAATGTCAAGATCCCCTCCAACATCCCTTCGGGAGACTACCTTTTGCGGGCTGAGGTCATCGCCTTGCACAGTGCTGCTGGCTCGGGCGGAGCACAGCCTTACGTTACCTGCTTCCAACTCACCGTCACTGGTGGAAGCGGCTCAATTCCAGCAACGGTCAACTTCCCAGGTGCTTATTCCGCTTCTGACCCCGGCATCTTGGTCAATATACACAGCCCAATGACGAACTACGTGGTGCCTGGGCCAGCTGTGTTCTCGGGGGGTACCACTAAAGAGCCTGGATCCTCTTGCTCCGGGTGTGAATCAACTTGCAAGGCTAGTCTCAAGCGCAGCGAGGTCCAATGGTAACGACACTGTAGAAGATGTGGATGGGTGCCTATTTCTATATTACTCAGATCAAGACAGAATGAAAGAAGTGAAAGGAGTGGGATAAATTCTATTCATTGTGACACGTTGTAGTGTTATTTGTGTGTCGATTCTTTTGATGGCTGTAGATTACTTTTTAATTTCTGCTCTCATACAGACAGCATCTCCCCTCTTCACCAAGACTTCCCAATTTGGAACATCTTCTGTATTCTGGACTTCTCCTGTCTGTATCTGGTAGGTTTGTCCTGCATATAGTGGTGATAAAGCCCGATACGTGATCTCGCTTGGGGACCTGCCATTGCCATGGACATCACGCCAGTAATCAAGGGAGCAGATCAGGTTCAAGGGTCCATGGACGACCAGACCGGGATGAGATTCCACCAGACGTGTCCAGTCTTCGTTGTAGTGGATTTTGTGGCCATTGAAAGTCAGTGCGGAGAAACGGAAAAGCCCAGTTGGTGACCAGCGGTACTGGCGTGCTTGATAACCTGTCGAGCCCATGTTAGAACATTGAATGCCACGTGGATGCTGTCTCGATGGAAGTCTGTCAACGGATGGCCAGTTCACTCACCTCCTGGTCCCTCAATATCCTTGGCCTCTGAAAGCCCTCTCGCGTTGGCATCTGACAGTGCTGGTGGTTCTTTGGCTGTCTGAGGATCAACCTCAGGACGGAAGATCCACGACCGCCTGTCGACCATTGCCAGACCACGAGGCGTCCAGATCTCCTTATCAACCTCGACCAGCACCATCTCACTACCCGTCCTGCTTGTCTTGGGTGTGGCGCTCACAAGTTTCGTGTGCTCCTCTGCCTCATCGCCAACACGCAGTATCGGGTTCGCCTCGCCCTCCTCACCAGACAACTTCCATTGCATTCTACCTCCAGCCCACATTCTCCGGGTGAACGGCTCAGGCGCATTGAATGTCCTGTCCGTCCCGTCGGCGCCCAGCTCAGACTCAACGCCGTTGGGCGTGAAATAGACGAGATGGTAGCCCGGCGGCACAGGCGTACCAACTGGCGGCGCCTTCTCAGACACGTCCAGGCCATTGAGCGTCGGCCGCCCGAGGGTGAGAGCGAGCTTCTGCAGCTGGTTCGCGTCGATCACCTGGCGACTGACAGTGGTATTTCCAGAGAAGGTTTCCAGGAGACGGTTTGCTGCGTCTTTTGCAGTCGTCGCGATGGGCGCAGCGCGTGATGGCGTGATGCTCAGCTTCCTGTATTGTATTTTGCCCAGCCCGAGGCCTGTTTTCCAGGCCCGACTTACTTTGATGGCTCTCGCAGTCATTTTGCCCGATTGACCTTCACTCTATCAAGCAATTCCAATGAATTCCGGATCACGTCTCAGTATAAGAAAGCATAAGATTAAATAGGATCGACACAAGGGAGCAATGTGCCGTTTGTCGGGATCGGCTTCATATCGGCTACTTGGCCAAGATGCCGAATTCCCCGCTGAGGCGAACATTCAATACACCGAGAGTCTCATCTACATCTTCTACAGCCTAGTGCCAATAATTCCACATTCTGCGGTTTTAGAGGAAATTCTCTTGTAAAATCTTCCAAGATGATAAACACAAATGAGTTTTCATCAAGCAGCTCAGTCAACCAATCCGTGGCTGAGAACACGATGATACATTCTTTAACGTTGGGATACGTCATATACACATATGGGAATATTCTGGATGGTGTTTGAACAATACTTATCATACTAGGCAAGTCAAATAAATAAAACACAGAATTC